CGCGAGAACCACCAAGGTAGAGACTCGTGAGGCGGCGACCAAATTCAATTTGGGTTCTGGCCTCTGTTTAGATTCCTCGTTGGTTGTTTAGTTTAGAGGAACAAAGAAAACATCTATGTGTTTATTCTAGCCGACGCTTCGGCCTCACCTCACTTACACCCCTCTCGCTTCCCTCTCGCTTCCTCCGCACATTTTCTCATCCTCTTTCCCTCGTCAGTCTCCTCCTCCCCCTCCCCATCACCCGTCCACGGCGCCTGGCCGTGCAAACCCTTTCCCGCGATTCACGAACATCCGACTATTCGAAAAGTCGACGCGAACGTCCTCGGCCGTTCTCGAGGATCGACGGGAGCCTCGCCGGAAGACAGGGAGCTGCGTCAATTTCGACGTTTACGCATCAGCAGCGAATTATAAAGGCCAGCCGGAGAGCCGAGAAATTGGTTCGAATCGACGGAACTCGTGTAAAATAAAAGTGCAATTATTATTTCTGTCTCCCCCGCTTCGAAAAACAACTGCCGCAAAAAGGGAACGTCAACCGAGTGTGTTTTCCTTCTTAGTTTATTGTTACTTGGCGAGAAGTTATCCCGATTCCCAGTTGGCCGTCGTCCTCTCTCTCCTTTCTGCTCCTTCGGTCCTGCAGGAGCAGGACGACAAGAGAGACGATTCCGGTTCGCTTTATGCGGAGAAAAAGGACGGAGGATGGATCGAAGGAGGAGGAAGAAGCGTGCTGGAGGGGGAGGAGGAGGAGGAGGAGGAGGAGTGCCAGGGGACGCAATTTCCAAAATAAACGGCAAACGCGCCTCTGCAAATAATCATCGCGCGTGCTTTTAATTAAGTTCCACTGTATGAAACCTCGACGGGACCCTTTCTCCTTTCTCCTTTCTCCTTTCTTCTTCCGATAGGGAAACGCAGCACTCAGCCGCAGGAGGGGAAGAGGAAAGAAAGACGCCGCCGCGGGTTTCCCAGGACGCGTGCCCCTGCGTCGGCAGGGGAACCACCCAAATGCACCGAACACCAAACGCTGCCACCTCCGGGATGCTCGGGAGGCAGAAGAAGAAGAAGAAGAAGAAGAAGCAAAGGCCGTCGAGATGCCGTCTACCGATGTACGTGTGATGCAACGCGAGGAGATTGCGGCACGGCCGGTGGGAGACGTGGAATAAAACATCGCAGGCGTGTAACAGTCACAGCTCGCCCGATATAGCTCAATAACAATTAGCGAGGATCGGCAGCGCGCTCTGCTGTTCGGCTGTTCGGCTGTTTGGCTGTTTGGACGCGCAAGACTCAAAGTTCCCGAAACTCGAGAGGACCCGGCCGATTCGCGACCGCGAGTAGTTGTTTCAGGTGTGCGCGACGTGTCGTTTGGTCGTTTGACGCGTTAAAGGAGAAAGAGTGGAAGGGATTTGACACGAGGTTTCTCGCATGGCTGTTTACAAGCCGCGACGAGACTGTTTTAATGTTTCGCCGCGAGGCTGTCGCCAGTTGTTTCAGGTGGGATCGAGTCTTTTGTCGTTTTGTCAAGCCAGGGATATTCTCCGTGTTTGGCGAACGGCGGAGCGACTCTTTCGAGCGGCACGTCCGCTCCTCTCGATGCTCCCATCGCTCCTCCTCGCACTTCGCGTCGAGAGTTATGCGCTCGCGGAGGAAGACTCGAGTAACGGAGAAAGAGCAGATAGCACAAAACGAGAGAGAGAGAGAGAGAGAGAGAGAGAGAGAGAGAGAGAGAATATACACTATATATATATATATAGTATATCGCGAATCGCGAGTACGGCGGTACGAAGTTACCGTGTGAATAATGAAGGGTAATCGTCCTTGCTAGTCCCCGTCATCCTTACCCTCGCGCGTCCCGGCCAAAGGATGGGATCCCTAGATTGGATTTAAGTACACAGCCCTGAGGTTTCGACCGGTTAATAATGCAAAGAATACCGCGTGGCTTCCTCCACTAGAGAAGACACCGCTCGCTCGACTCGCTCGACTCGCTCGACTTCGTTAACAAGAAGTAGAGGAAGGCACCCTTCTACTACAGCGAAGACCGGGCCTGAAGAAAAGAAGCCGAAAGAGAGAGGGAGCAGAGCAAGGTAGAAAGAGAGAACGAGTGAAAATGTCCACGGCCCGCCGCAAGAGGTCCGTGCTTCCTGCACACCGATCCTTGTTTAACAGTCCCGAGATTTTTAGCCGCCGATGCCATTAGCTAATGGCAACACGTTGGAGCGCGCACGCTAGTCGCGTCGGCCGCAAGCGGCTTTTACTTTTACCGCTTCCTCGCGCAGCACCGCTTCGGCCTAATAGACACCGACGAGCAAGACTAGACGAACGACAGACACTCGTTAATCGCTGCACGCAGATCGATCGACAGATAGACCACGGGCGAGGACAATCCGTTTTGAAACGACCTCTACATTCTCAAGCCAAGCCACAAGCCATAACTACCGACTTCTTAATATCTAACGAGTCATCGCTCCCCCCCCCCCCCCCCCCCCCA